TTTTTAATTCTCAAGGACAGTTTTAGTATGCTCAAGATGATCATTTAATGATTTTTTATATATCAGAATGTCATCAAAGTAAACAACTACAACCTTACTAAGATACGACCGTAGAACATGAGTCATTAATAACATAAAAGTACTAGGAGCATTAGTCGACCAAAGAGGCATAGTTAGTCACTCATACAAATTGTATTTAGTCTTGAAAGCAGTTTTTCACTCATCACTATGCTTCATTTGAATTTGATGGTAGCCAATCTTTAAATCTATTTTGGTAAAGTTATTGGACCCACTCAACTTATTGAACATATCGTCGAGTTTAAGAATGGGGTGTATATACTTTACCATTATTTTATTAACATTTCGACAATCTACACACATCCTTAATGACTTGTCCTTTTTTGGTGCTAATAAGATCAGAACAACATAAAGACTCAAGTTTTTACGAAGATAACCCTTCTTCAACAACTCCTCCACTTGCCTTTGAAGCTCTTTTATTTCCTCATGATTGCTTCGGTAGGCTAGTTAATTGGGAATTGAGGAACTAGGAACAAAGTCGATCTAATGCTCAATGCTTTCTAATGGTGGTAACCCATCTGGTATCTCCTCTAGGAACACGTCCTCGAACTCCTGTAAAAGAAATATCACAACATTAGCTAAAGAGGTGTTAAGGTCAATCAAATTTAAATAAGCCTCTGTGTACCTAAGTATAATTAAACTTATTTTCTCACAATAAGCACTTCTCAACTCTCTCTCCCTTACAGATATACATGTTTTTTTTCTCTTTCTCATTTTTTCTCTCGTTGGACTTTCTTTTTTCTTTTGAGCCTCTTTATCTCTCATTGAGTCTTCATTTTTTCATTTAGCCTCGTTATCATTTAGTGAGCCTTATCTTTTTGTTTTGGCCTCTTTTATTTATTTTTCTGCTTCTTTTTGAGTACATGATTATGAAGTTTCTTCTAAAGATCTTTTAATTTTATGTTGATCCCCGCATACTTCTTTAGGTGTTAATAGGATAAGAGTGTTATTTCTTCCATTGAAACTAAAAAAGTTACGATTCTTGAAACCGTCATTTGCAACTTGTTTATCGTACTACCATGGTCGTTCAAGTAGAATATAGTTGGCATGACATCACAACTAACTTAATATACCTTTCTATGGTGAAAGATACCATTAGTTGCTTGTTTACCCTGACTTCTCCATATTCACGCCATTGTAATCTATAAAAGTTAGGGTGTTTGGTACAGGTCAACCCGAACCTTTCAATAAGTGTGGTGCTACCTACATTAGTACAACCCCCTCTATCAGTGATCATGTTGCACACTTTCTTATTCACGAGGCACTGTGTATGGAATATGTTTTTCTTCTGACCATTTTCTTCTTTGGTTTGGATATTGAGGGCTTTACTAATGACTAAATATTCTCCTTATACAGCACACCCATGCTCTTCATCTACATCTTCTAGTCATAACATATTATCATTATCATCACTCTCATAGTCGCTAACATTATCGATTCTGCCATTATCTCTAAATAAAATGATTTTCTTATTTAGGCATTGAGAGATGATGTGTCCAATTCCTATAAACCTGAAATATTTAACGATATTATGTCTTTGAGATGTGTTAAGTGTCTTACCTTTAGGTTCAGATGTGGCTGACTTCTCCCACTTCATGTCAACTTCATTCTTTTCCTCATTTCTTGGCTATTTGAGTTGTAAGTAGGAGTGGCATTGGATGTACCATTTCTCTTAGATTTGAGTTGTCTCTCAATTTTCGTGGCCATGTGCACTATGTCCTCTAACTCATGTAGTGTTGCAACTCCATAATGTTGACAATTTCCTTATTAAGACCTCCCAAGAATTTTGTCATGGTTACTTCAAGGTCTTCTTTAAAATTGACCTAATCATAACCATCTCCATATTCTTGTGATAATCCTTAACGAACATAGAGCCTGCATTAAACGTTGTAATTTCTAGTACATTTCTCTATGATAATAAAAGGGTACAAACCTTTTTCGGATAATGGTCTTCATCTTTCTTCAGGTAAAGACTAGTTGTTTCTCGTTACAATGTCTAGTGAGGATTAATTGATCCCACCACACTAGGACATAATTAGTAAATTTTATAGCTGCAAGTTTGATCTTCTTTTTTTCGCTATATTTGTGACAGTTAAAGACTAATTCTACTTTTCTTTTCCACTCAAGGTAAGCTTTGACATTATTTATACCTTTGAAGGATGGCATCTTCATTTTGATGGAGCCGATATTATTGTCCCTCATATTTTCTCTCCATCCACGACTTTCCTCTCTGTAATCATTACAGGAATCGGCCTCCTCTTCGAGAATCCAGTTTCTAGGTTGTCTTGTGTTAGGAGTCCCATGTCTTGCTTCACTTTGTTCACTTCTCATGTCTTCTACTACTTTACTAAGTTGTGCTAATTCAACATGCATAGCCTCCATAAGGAACCTCACATCGGCAGGTTCATGATTCTCACTAGATATTTTTTTTGAAAAATCTATGTAAGAAAAAGATTAGGAAAAAAAAAACACTTCCTTACTAAATCCCTCGTGTTTCACTTATTTGGCTTTTACCCCTGATGATCTCACCCGTTCCATTTTTGCCTTTTATCACTCAATCTTCCGCCCACAAGTTGAGGGTTGAATAAAGTCATATTGAATCAAGGTATTCAAGTATTGTTTTAGACACTGCAAGGAACCCTATGGAAGAAAAAAGTATTGCACAAATATTAGAATCAAGGTTTTAACCAGAGAAAAAAAAAAGAGTTATATATATATATATATTAAGCACTAGAATGCAAATTAGATGTTTAGATGCGTATTGGACTAGAGCTTAAAGAAGAAAAAAACTGAGAATGCAAAAAAGAAAATTATAGAGAATGATGTATGGATTCGATTTTGGCCATAAAGAGGAAAATCGAAGATGCCCCTAAAATTCTACTCCTGATGTACACTACACTCTATAGTGAAGATGAAGCCTTATGCTTAATGAGATTTGTAATTAATGGATGCATGTTGATTTTTTTTTTTTGGGTGAAAAAAATGAAGCTTTGTTTTATGGTGATGCAGAGATTGGTCTTGCATTGTTGTAAAGAATGATAATTGAGCACAAAAGGTAAGTACTTTCTTAATTAGTGTATTGAGTGATTGAGATTTCTTTCCTTTGTTTCTTTTCTTTCTTTTTCTTTTTTTTTTATTAAATAGGAAATATAATCTCTAAAAGAAAGAAATTCACATATGGTGATGACGATATTTATGTTCAATAGGAAAGCAAAAAGCAAAGAAAGCGTCAAGTTGTTGCTTGTTGCTTGGGTCGATGTATGTATAAAGATTCTTTTTTTTTTGTATGAATGATGAAAAAAAAAATAAATGGTGCAAGAAAATAAAGACAATTGCAAAGGATAGTAAGGTTTAGAAGGAACCTGACTCTAATATCAAATGATGCAGAGCCCAGGATCAATGATATAATCTAGAACTCATACAATACTTGTTAAGGCACCAAATGCTTAAATTCTACAAAAAAAACTCTCTCTAATTAATCCACTATCAATAGAGTGATAAAAACTAAGATCATTGGGAAATTAAAAGACTAGGAATAGGAAAAACGTCACAAGGGTTACCTTGATAAGTTAATCTAACTTCTTATTCAACAAGAAGGATGAAGCCACCTTACTAGTTGAAAGAAACGTTATAATTTTATTGATTGAAACTTCAATGGTTACAACTAGAAATTGAAGACTTATTTATAGAGTATGTCATGTACAATACAAAGGAAAAAAATAAATCTCCTAAATTAATTGTAGGAAATTACATAGAAAATTAAATATAAACTTAAATAAAAAAATACTAAGAATCAAAAGGATTACAGTCAAAATAAGGAAGATACGATCTTCCCTCTTTTAAATAGGAATGATCTTAATTAATTATGAAGACTGATTGAGGAAAATCTTTCTCTCCTCCCTCCTTTCATTTTTTTCACTGTGCGCACACCTCGCACCTCTGTTTCTAATTCTAATATCAAGCGAAATACTCTGGCGGCTCGACTCGCGCCCAGATGAATGGACTGTTCGCTGTACCTCGTTTTTTATTATTCTACTATGTAAGCTACTCGTAATGACACTCTTATCACGTGGTATATTATAAATGAATGCACGAAAAATATTAAGCAAAATATCATGGCACCAAGACTTACGCCGGCGAATGAATTGTTAGACCACGTCTCTAGTCGCGCGTAATGTTTAACGCTCCATCCAAAAAAAGACAGTGCAACACGAGGATTCAGTGGAATTCTAATGACACTTAACTGCAGAGTTCTTATGGGATTCAGTGCATTAGTGCTGGACTGATCGAGCGCGTCCCATTCCCTACTACAAATGCATGTGCCACTTTGGTTTCCCTCCCCCCCTCCGATCATTTGTATCACTGTACACGCACACCTCACATATGTTTTTAGTTTAAGAAAGATTTTGACCAATTTAGGAAATGATTAATTGTTTCCTCTCACCAAAATCCATGAGATTTCAATCTCCCATTAAGACATGAGATTTTATTTCCTCCTCTTGATTTCCTATGTAGTTTAAAAAGGAAGTCTCCCCCTTGGCTGACTCTCTCTTTACGATAGAAGATTGCTGGCAGGTTTGGGAGAAGAAATCCGTTATGGGATCTTCCTCTTCCACTTGGATTAAAGTGTATGTACCATAATGCCCTTTGGTTGATAGACTTATTTTTTTTCTTCTTTTGGGCTTCTTTAAATGATCTAAATCTATATTCTTTATTGATCTATTTTTAGATGAAAAGTTAAAAAACTTGTTGTAATTTTTTTACTGTTCCTCTTGTAACGGGCCCATTTGATATTATAATAATTTTATGGTCCATGCTCAAATCATAATATAATGCACCCAAATTATAATCACTAATATGTGTCATGTATAATGTCTTCAAATATAACACGTTTAATAATGATTATAGTAAATTTTAAAATTAATAACATTTTAGTTATATGAAAGAAACTCTACTCCAATTTATGACTATTAATGTAAAAATTATGTATAATATTTTTAAATATAAAATATTAAAAAATGACCATACTAAACTTTTGTAATTAATAAAGTTCTACTTTTATTATTTTATAAAAAAAAATATATTCAAATTTTTATTATTAATATATTTTACAGAAAAAAGGTCAAAATGAGTTTAAAATAATTACAAGAAATCATAATAATTCTTTACAATTATTTCTTGTACGCAATTATTTTGTTTGATTAAATCTTAACTACACTGTTCTGTTGCAATGAAATAAATAGCAAACTGCTTTTTCTGTTTATTTAAATTATAGAGTAAATTTAACAAGATAAACATTGCACTCAGATCACCTCTTTACCTCTATGAGGTTACCAAAATACCCACCCAACAAGATACAAATAGTTGAGATACAATACTTTTTAATCCCATTTATAAATTTTAATAAAGAGTACCAAACAGTAAATACCCCTCCAATGTATACACAAACACATATTTTCCTCATACATGTCATCCTGCAGTCATATACGAATGGATCCAAGTTCCAAAAATTTATGCTCCAAGATTATCAAATGCATATACAATATGGCAAACAAGCAATCAAGTTAAACAATATTACATTCATAGTTTTGGACAAGATCAAACTTCCTAGAAAACTGAGTATTTTGCTACGAAAGCACAGAGCACAGACCACCAAACAATAATATCTGCCTTTCCATTGGAACAAGAGTAGAAAGCTACCTCTGCCCTATTTGTATGGAATGCAAGAGCAATCGGAATACCATATCACTTTTGCATAGGGGGAAAACTCTTACCACAAAACTCTTAACATAGAAAAATGTTCCCACTATATTCCAATTATGGAATTGGGATATGTAACAATGTGAGGATTTTGCAGCATTCACTTCATTCACTTATTCAGTTTGTGCCAATTTCTTGAGATGTTGAAGTGTTTTATGTTTGATCCACTCTCTGTCATATGGCAGATATGCCTGTAGCGAGGGCTCATATCTGCAAGCAGTAAAACAGAAAAGATGTTACTTCTATTACCAGACAATCACAACCATATGTAAACACTTGGGAATTGTCTATGAATTGATCACATCCCGCAGCAATGTGGCAGCCCAAATTCCCTGCATCCTAAAGGTATGTGCCAAAGAAGCATAGGATCCAACAGAAGAAATTTAAAGGATGAAGTAGAGCACAAAAAAGCACACTTAGAAACATAATTTTAAAGCAGAGAAGTTCGTGGTTTGGTGAAGGAAATTAAATACAGTGAGCAATTCGCTAAACATGGTGAAACATTTTTTTTTTCAAATAACGGTGAAACATATATTAACAGGGGTAAACTCCAAGAAATGAATGCCAATCCCCATATGAGCTCCACTCGCATCTAGCTTTAATGGTAGGGTGGATGTGAGAATTCAAACAAGCACATGCCAATATATGTGACGATTTGAACAGAGTAAGATATTTGAGGAAGAGAGATAGAAAGGTGGGAGGAGGGAGACTTACACCAATGCACTAAAGTCCGCCAGGCCATCGATGAAATTATAGAGATTTGAAATGTCATAA